TAACTGTGCTTCAAATGCAGCTCTGTTCAATTTTTTTTTCTCTACATTTTTTTCTTTTTGGAAAATAGTATTTTAATGGAAGATCATATTCTTTTTCCTCTGAGTAGTAAATTTTTTTTCTTATAAGTGCAAGCTGAATTGGTTAAACTTTGAAAATAGGTCAGTGGCTAGTACCGTTTGTTTAAAGACCAAAGGACTCATTATCGTTATCATTTATCAGGACTCAGTAGATGTTGTGGTTATGAGGTCTCACTCTTAAAACAAACTTGACAGTTTCAAGCAATAATGTGCTATTCCACAGTTTAAAATGTTGCATATTCGTAGCATAAAAAAAAATTTTATTAAAACAAGTTGCATTAGTTTTTAGGGGCCAAAATTCTTGATCATTTGAATACAGTCCAGTTTTGATCATTTTAAGGGGGCAAATGCATCCAGTTTTTTTTGCAAATGATTAATACATTGTTGGTTTTCAGTGTGTTAGAATAATCACCTCCCATTTATCGTGTTCTTGGTGCAAATTTTAGTAGAACTAAACCTGATGAGAAGTTTTCATTTAAATAAGGAAAACTGAATAAATAGCAATCAGTTTGAATATAGCCCATGATTGAAAACCACATGTAGCTTACTTGTTTTTGTCATGAAAGCTCTTTAGCACCTGTGTGCATTTATACGGTGTGCCCATCCTGGTTTGCACAGTATGTAGTTGGCAGCACTGTTGGGTTTTTGTATTTTCTTTTTGTTGTGTTATACCAGGTAGTAACCACTGGTTTGATTGATTGGAAGAAAAAAAGAACAGGAGTCAAGAATTATGCTTACAATTAGAGGTGCTGGTACAAAAAAATGTTCTCCTAAGTGTTAAGGAATGGAAATTCACGTATCCAGCATCCAAGCATGTTTCCAACATGCACGGTGGCCTGGTGGGCTGCCTGCAGAGCAACAGAGGCAGGCTGTGGGAACGACCACATTCTGCTCTGCCCATTCAGATGAGCAGCACTGGGACTGCCTTGTGTAAGCTGACAACAGAGGGTGTTCGAGTGACTTGTTAATTTTATCTGTACCAGCTGAGCCATTTGCAATTGGCCGTTCGAGATTAGCCTTTCGCTGAGTGTGAAGTACAGCTATGTACCTATGGCTTCCAATTAGTTTTCAGTGTGGGTTGCTTGTTAGGAAAAAAACCCTTTTGCCGTTGTTGAAATGATGGTTTAGATTTCATTAGAGAACAATGCTTGCAAACTGCTTCTGTCAGTAATGTTCAGTTCCTTCAAAGCAACTTTTCTAATTAATGAAATCAATTGCTAGTTTGCGTTCCATCTGGGTGCTCGTGTAGCTGCATAAGACACTCAGGAAATTGCTGTTTTTTAGAAGGGCTTTTGTGGCAATGACAGTGAGACGTGCGCAGCCTGAAACTCTTTCCAGATTTCTGAGATGTCAGGCTAGGAGAGAGTTTTTGCTTCATTCTGAGATTCATTCTTTTTGTATTTTGCGGACTGTAGAGGCTCTGCTTTCGAAGCAGGCTGCCCTTGGTGCTGAGGTAGGTACTGATGTCAGTCCCTGTAGCTGTGCAGGAGCACTGCTGATCTTGCAGGAGTGGGCTGAAGGGACAGGCGGTCCTAATATAATGTTGGTGCACAGAGACTGCTGCTTTTTATGTAATTCCGAGACTGTAACTCAGCTAACTGTCTTGTGGCTAATGGAGAAGTCACAAATAAATTCTTATTGTCCACCTAGAACACTTAAGTGCTGGAAACAGATTAAGATCTGGCTACAGATTAGTTGTTTGTATTTCGGGTGTTTTGTCACTTTAGTTAATATTTACTAGCTTCCTTAAAAAGCCTCTTTGTAGGGAATAATGCCTTATTTGGTTTTGTGCATACTCAAACAATACAACGACATTAGTCCTTGCGAAGTTTAATTTTTCCTTCATGTTCTTAAAGTATTTGAAAACATCAAAGTCTTTTTATGGCTTTTTATATTATGGGCAGTCAGAATACCACAGGACGGCCAAAACTTGTATTGTTTTGGCTCTGCAGACATCTTCTTGATGGATTAAGGCTGTCATCAGAATGTGTAAACACCATTTCCAGCTTTTGACATTGGTCACTAAAGCATCCTTAAGTGCAGCTCAGGGATCTAGTCCTGCAAGACAAACCCCTCTATCATATGACTGAATGATGGTCAGGGGCTTCTGTTAAAATGTTTTAATAACTTTGCACTTCACAGCAGTAAGTCGATTCCCTTGTATTTGAGTCACAGTGCTTGATCATCTCTATGTAGCTAGTCCACTGACATGTGAGTGCATTCACTTTAAACAGCATCTACCTCCAAGTTAAGACAAAATAATTACTTAAACAGAAGTGTTGTTCTTCAGAAATTATAATGCAATTGCAGCAGTTGCCTTACCAGGCCCTGTTCATTTTACATATTGATGGTTTTCTACATTCTACATCTTCTCACACTGCGAAGAAGAATCTGCAATGTTTCTGAAAATTTTGTGAAATATACTGCTTTATAGCAAAGGAAAGATATGCTAATGTAAAAAATACTCTGATTTCTCACATTAATTTTATATTTTTAAAGGAAAGAACTAGGAGAGTGGGAAATTGTCTCCTCACAGTTTTCTTAAATGCTGAACTTTACAGGTTTTTGCCTGGTTTTATTGTTTTTTGGGGTAATTTGTTTAGTTTAGTTTTGTTTTTTAGTTCTTTCATCACCTGGAAGGAAGTCCTTCAGGGAATTCTAAGTATGTTCAAGGGAAAACTAATTGTCTTATTGCCCACCTTACTGTCTTGGCAAGGCTGGGCTGGTGTCTTGTCATAGATGCACAGCTGAAAATGATGAATGATATAACAAATATATCACTTTATCTAAATAAGTTATAGAAAGAGCTTACGATAACGATATGGTTCTTGCAGGCTTTGAGAAAGATAATGTCCTGTAAAAGACCCCAAATAAATGTATTGATTCTGTTTTCACATATTTTTCACATTTGATATGAATTTCATTTTGTCTTTTGAAAGCCTAACATTTTAAAAGCTTGTACTGCATAATTCATTGACACAGCAAAACTGTGACTATTAAATACTGCTTTAAAATACTAATATATTAATATAAATACTGTCTTTACCAATAAAATACTTTTCCAAACAAGGGTGCATTTTGAGGTGTGTTTCAGTGGTCACAGGTGAGGCACTTTATCTTCTCTCTGTGCCTACCTCTGCATAATTTATCCATTTCAGTAGTATTTTGGGTTCAGTAGTATTCTAAGGGGAGAAAACAGACCTGCCTTTTAAAAGCAAGAACAAGTTTTTCACATATTTTTCTTGTGCTGGGCCAATTCTCACTCCTGTTCATTTGTGCTGAAAAGATAGCAGAGATATGAGATGTAGCAGCAATAAGCAGGCTGTTGTAGGACCTGCTAAAAGTTGCTGATTGTTTGAAAAAAGCCTTACTATACCTGAAAATACATCATTTTGTCCTGTGAAAGAGAATTAGGAAATGAGTACAGAAAAATATTTAGAACACATACAACAAAAACTATTGGATGTCAGTAAAATGCCTTTTCCCAAGCATATTTGTTTTTACTTTTATGCTGGTCTCCACCATGATAAAATACTCTCATTGTTAGGAAAATTACCTAAGTTGTTCTCATAAAAGATGAAAAGACAATACATTTCTTAGCTTTTAAGTTCTTTGCAGTTCTATGGATAATGTAAAACCTCACTTCAGAGAGATACCTGAAATCTCATTCTCTATCTGATGAAAAGTATGTTTTGGAACATCTGACTTAAAAACAGCTCCATGAGAGAGGAACCACTGTGCCGAGGTCACATTTTCACTTTAATCCTAACTTTCTTTTAACCTAAGGTTTGACATTAAATATAATTAAAATTGAAAGCCTCTTTTGATAGGAAATATTTAAATCTGATTAGATTCAATCTATTGAAATGGAATACGTCTAGAGTAGTGGAAGCCTCCCATCCCTTTTTGCTTGGAGGAAACAAAATCCAAAAAACCACCAACCAGACAACAACAATAACAAATAACCGACACACAAACCCCTCCCTGCTTCCCCCAACAAAAAAACCCTAACCACAAAACTCAAGAACCCCAAATTTCTCAGGTTTCCTGGTTTGATTCAGGGTTTCAGTTTAAATTGTAGCACTTTCTGGGAACTTTGAGGAACCATGAAAAAACAGTTCTGTATAAAAATTCTTTCAAGAATGCCTACTAAGGATTAATTGGGAGAAAACAAGATTCCTGAAAATTGCTGGTATAAATTTTTTCAGTGAAGCTCCATTGGCTTTTGCCTCTTGGCCTGGAACCCGTCTCTCTTATCATTCTGCCAATCATCAGTGTTTAAAAATGCAATTCTGGGATCAGATCCTCAGGCAAGCTTTGTTGCACTCTGGCCTTTGTGTTTAGCAAAAGAGAAACAAGGAATTGATTGTTGCTGTTGATGGGGTGGTGGGTGTCCCTTGTTCTGCATGTGCGGTTAACTCAAGTTGAGTAATGTATCTTGTTTTAGAGGTGTTGGCTTTGTTGCCTGCTCTCATGCAGTGGTCTTCCCCATCACCCACCTTTGTAGATAATTTTGGCATGTAGATTTTGTGTTTTGGTAGAAAATGTGTGGTAGAGTCCCGCATAAATGAAACAAAAAGGAAAATAGCACTTGAAAAATACTATTTTGAGAAAATGCCAATGCGTACAACTGCCATTATTGAACAGCACTGAAAAAAAATATGAATCCTAAAGTCAGCTGGAAGTAAAAAACACTTGTAAAATAATTGCAAATGAAGTATATGAGCAAATATCATTGCAATGGTTGTAAGAGAATACATCCATCTCTTGCTGGATGGTAGTGATGTAGAACAGGCTCTTTTGTTCCCATTGTTTTAAAAGTATGCTTTAAACAGCAGTGAAACTGTATTTTAAATAAGGAGCATTTAGTTTTAACTTCTTCTATGTGTGATTATCTTTTGACTTCTCTTTTTTTTTTTAAGGTCTTTATGGTTATGGCAATATCTTTCATCAGCCGATGGTATAATGGACTACCAGTTGGATGACATACAGTCGTCTGAAACATGATATGTACTTCTCCTCTTCCATATCCGTGGTGAGTTTTGGTTCTGTACATATGTATGAAATGCTTCAGAGAAGGAACTGAAACCTAAGTTCAGAAATAACTGTATAGAACTTTTCTCTTTTTGGATGATTTTAAAGCTGTGTAAAAATCCTGAAATATAACTTGAAATGTTGTCTTTCCCTTCAGCTTAAAAGCATTTTCCCCTTCATTTAGTGTGTCTAATTCAAATTAGATTCCAACCAAATGTCATTTTTGGGCAGACATGTACCACAATGTATTTAAGAATAAGATAACTGTAACTGTGTTACAAATATGCCATAAAAGACAGGTGAAGAAATTAATTGGAGAAAATACTTGCAAATAATTTGTCAGTTTTGGTTTTTGTGATGCTTCTCTGTTTTGTGCCTACGATTAATCTGATTATAGTATCTGTGAGCACTGTTAAGTATTGTATAATCAATAATATTGAAAGCAAAGCTCCTCATATTATAACTGAATTATTGCTTCTGTGTCTAGACTTACAATAATGAGATCCAAAGCACTCATTGTTCATTTGGCTAAACACATTGACAAATTCAATTTTATCAGAATGTTCCACTGACTACTCCTTAACACGCCAGAAATTGCAGCCCAGTCTTCTCTCCAAAAATCAGGTTGAGCAATAGAGGTTTAAATCTTCACTCTCTCACTCTTCTCCTTTTTGAAGGTTTAGATATGGTTCTTATGCCAGAGATTGGTTATGAACGACACTGAATTGTCTGGAAGAGTTGCTTAGCCACTGTTAATTTTTTTTGCCTGTAAAATATTTTTTTCCCCAAAATGTATGTCTAGTGTTTGGGTTAGAAAAGATATGAATCTGCTCCAGATTCCAGAGTTCTTAGAAAGATGCAGAAGTAGTGAAAAAAGTAAAGAGAATAGAAGAGGCAAATATTAATTTGCCTAATGCCATAAGGCATTTAGTCCAGGCTTTTCTTACTACATGTTTAATTGCTGTAATGAACTAAGATAGAAACAATGCAGTTTCTGAAAATGCACTTGGTAATAGAAATATGGGTTTAAATATCCCAGACAAGTGGATAGAGATGTTCACCAGCAAAATGGGTTACTATTATTTTTGGTGAAAATGGGTGTTTACACAGAGAAACAGACACATTTTCTCCTCCTGTGGAGGACATTTTCTGCCTGCTTCACTGTTACCAGTTTCAGCTGGCTTTGCATTTGAAATTTTAGGCATCCCATACAACCATACAACTCTGAAACCAGGGAGCCAGATAAATAACAAAAAGAGCATCACCTTGCTTGTTTCCACCTGCAATTTCTGAGGTTCTGACAAACCTGATATTGTTTGATGGGTTATCCAGCACCTGTTGGTTCTGCAAAGCATTGCCCTGGGTATTTATTGAGTTCTGCATTGTTCTCTAACCCAGCTTTGCATTTTCCAAATTAGCAGATTGCTTCAAAGACTTGACCTTTTCTCTTTTTCCTTATCAGCAATGTGCCATACTTTTCTGAGCATGTTTACACATCCTGAGTGTGCACTGATGCATCATGAAATCAGGGCTTTGTGACAAGTCTCATGGAAGAGCTAACTTCTTTAAACAGACAAAACTGTCTATCCCATATGTGTAAATACTGTAGGATTATGTCTTCTTTTGCAGATGTCTGCTCCACTACATTTTACTGCTATTTTACAGCATTTATTATCTGTATCCACCAGCAGGAGAACAAAATCCATTCCAATCCACAGTGTTTCCCTTGAGGCCAGACTTCAAAGTAGAAAGGCGTGATGACGTCTTGAGTTGTTTAAGAAATTGTCCTGACAATTTTAAAAACACTGCTTTGGCATTCTTGTTAGAGCTGTTCCTCTTTGCAGTCAGAATCTTCAAGCAAAGAGAATGTACCTTGTGTAAGGGCATCCTCATCCTCCTCTCACTTCTATCCACTATCCACTAAAGGCTCACATAGGCTCTCAAATGTTAGAAACAGTTACTCCACTGCTTCTTTCTAACCAGAAGACAGCTAAGATGGGCATCAGGAAGTAAACTGAATGCCATCACACCAGGTGTGAAACCTAAAGGATTTTCTACCCTTGCCACGGTAGCTTGCAGAATGAAATTTACAGGATAAGTAAGGTTTGCTCATCAAATTCAAACCCTACAAGAGAGAAAACAAAACTCAAGCAGTAGTATATATTTAAAATATGTAAAATAACAATGATAACAATATTTCTAGTTTGTTCCCAAATCCTATGCTCCATTAGATAGACCAGGGAAAACTACTACAGGTATCCTATTGCACTTAAGTCAGGCTTTTAGAAGACACAGTGGGATTTGAGAACTTAAAGGAAAGATAATCTCTTATAATGAAGAAGTACTTTAAATACAAATTTGTACATCATCCTGTAGTTGAGTGCCTTCTGATTTTTATTCCACTTTAGACCAACTGATATCAACTTTGATAGGGATTTTTGGTTGATGGAAAGCACTAAGGTTTAAAAAAATACTAATGAACCAAACCACGAACAACAAAAGCCAAACTAAAGCCAAACAATAATAAAAAGTGTAAATCTTAATTGTCTGCTATATATTGAGAAAATTCATATTGTATTCTAATTTTGAAAATATATTTTTTAAGATTTCAATATACAAAGTAAGCACAGGATTAAAAAGAAGCCATAGAGGACAGAAGCCTGGTGCTATTTGGGAGATGTTTATGGTAATTGAAAATAGAATGTATAAAACATCAAAGGTCATGACATCTACAAACAATTTTTGTTTCAGTTATAATTTAACATATTATAAGAATGACAAAGGAATTTTTAATATAGAATTCCCCTCTTTTACTTGGAAGACTGAATAATTCTAGAAAGCTCAATTAGAAAAAAAAAAGACCAAAAAAAAAAAAACATATCAGGTATTCCTAATACAACCAGCTGTATTTTCTGAGTTATATTTAATTGATATCCACTTGAAGAAACAGTAGCAGCTGCTGCTAAGTAAGAACACTGTTCTATTATCTAACTTTAAAAAAGGGAATAAGAAAAAAAGGTAATGAGAAGAAAACATGGAAAAAGTCTAGCCCTGTATGTCAGTTTCTCAATCTAAAACAATCTGTCAAGAATCATGTCTTGAAACCTCCTGTACCATCACTGAACAATGAAGCTTGAGTTTTGCCTGGTTCTGCTTCCGAACTCTTGTTTCAGCTTCTCTGGGCTGGAGGCTCCTCAGAGTTTACAGATGGTGTTGTAACTGAAGTACTTCATTTTAACTGTAAAGCATCATTAATAATTATTAAAACCACTTTTTATTATTTCCATTGACTTCTGCCTGTTGTGGCAATATTCAGGGTTCTCTAGACTGCCATTGATTTTGCTTAGATCATTGCTCCATCAGAGTTCACACAGGATGAATCCAGAGGTGGATTCAGTGAACCTGGGTCCATCTGTGCCACCTGCTAGTCTGGCTGTCCAAAGACATCATGGGCTTTGTTTGGATGACAGAGTAAATGGCATGGAAGGTACCCTAAAAAAAATCAAAATGAAGCATATATTGTTTATTAGAGTAATCCAGATCCTGATGAGATATATCCTGAACTGAGGTCATAGAAACAAAGAAATAATGCTAACATTTGTCTTGAAAACTTCTGATTTGGGTGAATTTAAATCATGGTGCTTCAGTACTTTCGAAGTAAGAACTCCCCTTTGTCCTTGTTTCCCTACACCTTTATGTACTTAATTTTCAAGCTGATGTTCTGATACTGAAGGACTGCACTGTGTCAAGAGTCTTGAATAAATTATGTCATAGAAGCTTTGAAAGCTACTGAGAAACTGGCCTCAAGGTTAGGTATTGGTTAAAGAAAGGCCTGATAACTGAAGAGTAATTGCTGCTGATGTGCTTTGTTCTAATGATTTTCTATTAGTGGGGAGTCTTGATTAATGGTCCTCTATCAGCATGTCCTGATAAACGTGCTAGTCAATGAATCAGTCTGTCATTTTATTTTCTCTTAAAGAATGTCCTTCTAATGAGGGTGTGACAGGAATTGGTTTTGAATGAACTGCTGCAAGCAATTTCTTTATCTGAATGGAGAAAATATTTTCACTTTCTAAAGTTTTTAATTCCTGCATAATCTTCTTCTGAATTCATTAATTATTTGTACCAAGTAACTACTTCTGTGATATTTTTGCATTTAAAAAGCATAGTAAGTTTTTAAAACTGCATGGAATCAGAAGAGGTTCTGTGGTAATCTTACTGTTGTGTTTAAATTCTATACTCTTTTAACTACAGCAGACTCTTAAAGAAAAAGCTGGGTCTAAGCTTGAGCAAGCTTGCTTGAAAATATATTCAATGTATTAATATTTAATTTTTAGCTTTTCTACTGTACTACTGTGAAAAAGCAACAGCAGCCATTTTCTGCAGAAAACTAAGAGCTTGCCAGTTTTGTTAGGGTGAAAAAAAACCCCACAAGCAAATACCAGTAATCTGGGTTTAAAAAATTATTAAATTTATATTAATAATGCATATTAAATTGATTTAATTAATATTTAATATTAATAATTATTATTTTAGTATAAAGTAGACTATTAGTCCAGTTTGTTGTGGGTTTTTTCTCATTAAAAATAATACAAAAATATTGTATTTTGGGTTTGGGTTTGTTTGGTTTTGGTTTTTGTTTTTGTTTTTTCTTAATAGTCTTGCTATGACAGTGAAGTTTCCAATGGATAACCAAGATGTAGTATAGAATTTGCAGAATTACCCAACATGTTATCAGTTTGATAGGGGAGGGAGGATCCTGGAAAGCTGGAAGTGTTTAAATGGCGTGTGAATAAGCAGAGCTGTATCGGCAATGAGCTGCTTGTGGTGCCCAAGCAGCACTGCCTCCTCTCCTCAAAGTTAAACCCTGTGGAACTGCATCAAATTGGTGCAGCTAACTCAGATACCATTTGGAAGGGAGCGGTGGCTTATTTTAGACAATCAGTAACTGAGTTCGCTGGTTTGTGGTCTCACAGTGTCACGCTCACAGCACTGGAATTT